CTTCAAAAAATCCTGAATCCACCCCTGTTGAGGTTGTTGGTGTTGGAACTGTATTATGTAAATTGCCTCAAACAATTTTACAGGTCTGTGGCCGTAGGACGCTGCAGGGACATTGGTCTATGAGTAAATTTATTTCATGTGTTATGAACCTGAAAGTCCCCCTTGACAGAGAGTCCGCTTCCCATTCATTTGTACAGTTGAGCCTCGCCCTAGATTTTGACCCACTTAGGTCAAACTAACCCTATCAATTATAGCTATATGGAGGGCGGACTTTCTGTCAAACAGACCGTCAGTTCCGTGACACCGGACGTACTATATCTGGGAGATAACAAATCTGTTGTCTCCGACCGATCTGCAATACCGTGTATTTCAGGGTAAATCATTTTCACAATCCGTTGGCAAGGCTCATAGAGACAATCGATGTGAATTTGGACACGACCTGGCACAAATTTATCTATTTATAAACAATTAGTTCCTCTCAAGAAAGACATTTTATATCTTAGTGCTCAGGCCCATTTATAGTGTGAAACCATGACTGCTCGGAGGACAGTAGGCGCGGTAGCCTATTTTGTTGTAATTTGGGGATTCGCCACACTTTGGTATCAGTATAATAGAATAGCATATCAGAGGAGCCGTGTTAAAACAAGGAGTTTTCAGATTGAGAATACTATGAGATATATAACAGATGGCCCCACGCCTAATCATACGGCCTTGGACACCCACTGTAAAGTCCCGCTGGATGTGTGCTCGGCGAAAATGGCGCCAGAATACTGGTACCACTTGAAGAAATACAGATACGTAGTAAACCAAGAATGCACTGCGGCAGACGACCCATATCTGCTAGTTTTGGTCATCTCGAACCCGCAAGATGTGAAAACGAGAGCTGCTTATCGCAAAACTTGCGGTAGTTGGAAGCAGTATCTTGGCAGACGAATCAAAACCATCTTTTTTCTTGGGAAAACCGGCTACAAAACAGTAGATGAAGATGCCGTAGCTGAAGGATTACATTATAAGGACACCGTTATAATCGATTTCGTCGATTCTTATAAAAATTACACGCTTAAGACTTTACTTGCTTTTCGCTGGGCCGTTGAACTCTGCGGGAACGCAAAGTTCGTCCTGAGAAACGGACATGATGTAACTACCAACATCCAGGAAATCATGGATTATCTCACGAGTCTTCCCAAAGACTCCCAGTCGTCGCTTTTGGAAGGGTACATACTCTCAGACAAACACGCTCCACAAAGGGACCCAAAAAACAAGTATTATCAGTCACCCGAACAATACCCCTGGAGCAACTTTCCTGATTTTGTTTCAGGATTTGCGACGCTTTTTTCTTTTGATGTGGTACGTGTCATTAACTCTGCGTCTCTCACTCAACATCTGTTCATAGAAGACGTGTACATGGGGCATATAGCCCACGCGAATGGTATCAAACTTAAACACAATGTTAACTTTTGGTTTTCCCCCGCGACACATTATCGCAACATTTTAAGAAGCAAGTGCAGGTTCATGAGGTCGTTCGCTGTTCACCGTGCACCCACGAGCGTATTGTGGGCGGTCCTGAACGGCACTTTGACTAAAGAGGAAGCGTGTAACGTAAAATCATACAGTACACCCAAGCAGGGGAAATGAAAATATCTAAGGCGCAGGTGAGCAATAAGTTACATGGACGTGGCACTATGGGTATTTTTTATTACTGCGAAAATAAACGTCTTGCACATAAGTGATTGTTGGAAATATTTCGTTTACGGATAAACGTCTCGAAATGCGGACACGTGCAAATGCGTTCAGAGGGGTGACAGAAGTATCGCAACACCTGTGTAAATAGTGCTCTAAGTGACATGGGGGACCCGTTAGATTAATGTTTTTTTTTTTGGTTTATTGCTCGCTTTAACAGTGATGGATTTTCACCCATGTGTACTATAAAAGGTGCCTCCGAGGGTAAAAGGTCCTTCTAGCTGTCACATTGCCACCATGGTGAAGGTACGGGAGCTCACAAATGAAGAAAGAAATGAAATTGTTTCTCAGAGGGAGGAGGGTATCAATGTTACCCAGATAGCTGCCAGATATGGTGTATCTCGTAAGACTGTGTATAGGTTTGCAGAAGGATTGTGGACACAGGTGATGCCCATAAGTTACACCGAAGTGGCCGCTTAAGGAATACTAATGCCAGAGACGACAGGCGTCTTTTTATGCTGTCAAGACTTAGGAGGTTTGAGCGTGCAGGAAATTAGCGTTGCACTGCTCGCGCAGTTTGCAGCTCGAGGTTAGCAAAAGAAATGTACGAAGAAGGCTCCATGCTTCAGGTATTCACAGCAGGGTTGCCAGGAGGCATCCACTCATCACCTTGGTAAATAGACACAGAAGAGTGACATCGGCTGCAAGAACCATTGCCTGGGCAGTGGGTCAGAATTGGCGCCATTTTGTTTTTTTTTTCTGACAAGTCCATATTCACAATTAACAACGTGGGTGGACAAGTGAGGGTATGGAGAACATCATCCACTTGTCATCTGCCAGGAAATGTGCATTTCCTCACAAGACAGTCCACTTCAATCATGTCTTTGCCCAGAAGGATAGTGGCCATATTGAAATCACGTGGCTGTCCTACAAAATATTAATTCTGACATAATAGCATATGTTATGTAAGGGCAATGCACTGTTCTGTAAACCTACATGTAAAATAAAGATACTCGCTCGACACAATCAATTTTCAATAAAATAACAATTGAAAAAACTAAAAAATCCACCCGTTCCCATTAAAGAAAAATATTGCAATACTTTTGTCACCCCCCCCCCCCAGTTTATATGGTGAAAGGGTTTGAAAATATAATTCTATATAAAATACCTTTGGAAATACCGTCGATCAATTTCGACGAGTATTTCCCACCAGTAATTGTGATAATTTTACAGTTCATCGATACTTTTTACTTTTTGAACACAAATATTTTCGGCTGACCTGCATGTATCTTGAAGCTTGTAAATCATTGCGGTTATGGTCTGACCTTCACATGACGCACATGAATAATTCCAAATATTTCATTTAATTCATTTTAATCTCAAAATATTTTTATTTACAAAGTTTGTGACAAGATTCCATATAGCTATACATAACTTTCAAAGTATACTTTTGATATAAAGTCATGATTCATCTTGGAGAAGAGGGTTCAATAGCTGTGGGTTACCACGTGAAACACTGATGCTATATTTTATATTGGCTGGAGTCGCCCTGGGCAATGATCGTCACGAAAGGGGGGCCACAAACTTCTAACTCAAGTGCCGTTATCGTCCATATATTTTATATAATAATGTCTGAGTTATATACCTCTACACATTATCTCATTGTACCTTTTACCAGAGGGGATGTGCTAAACAAGCCGAATTTGAAATAGTGATTATCTGAAAGGAAGTTGACTCCGCTGTGTGATGTCATAAAGGACCCCGAAACTCGAAAGCGTCGCCAATTGCGAATAGCGATATCACATAGAGGCTACAATGTATTACATGGGACGAGTATGGGCGAGTTATGGAATCGAGACGCTTGCGCTCGGTCGCAATGCGCGATGCTTTCGAGTTTCGGGGCCCAGGTCTTCATAACATACGAGAACGAGTTTCTAACATATGCTGTTAAAAATGTCAGAATAATTATAAGTGTAAGCACTTTAAATATATGCAAATAGTACTGATAAACATCTCTATATACACGGTATATATAATTCCATGCCCCCCTGTCTGCCGTCACACTAAATCTCAGCACATAAATCAAACAATATGGATGTTCACGACAATTAAAAAAAATGATGTCTTTTGCCGACCGCGGGCAAGGGTGGTACTGTCATTAATCTTGGAGTGATATGAGAGATGTGACTTATAGACCGCATTCACAACGAGTTGAGCCAGGCTTTACAAATCCTGGGGACGAAATATGGCGGACGTACATGAAAGAAAAACCGCCTAATCTTTTAATAGTCTCTCCGCCTCTCACACGCCTCCCCACACGTCGTTAAATCTCGGCTCCGTTCGTCGTGCAGAAGCTACCTGAGAAATATTAAGTGCGCATGCTCATCAATTAAACTCGCGGTGAAGAAAGCATGGCGGCTGGAGGCGATCGAAGGAAAAAAGCTCTTCTGTTCTATTATCTTTCAAAACAGAGACGAAAAAGGAATGAATTGGCCCGTAGAGCAGCAATGAATCGACTATCTACTGAGATAATATCACCAGAGAGCGGAGCCGAGATTTAATGACTGTACCCCGTAGGGACGACGTGTGAGGAGGCGTGTGAGAGACGGAGAGACTATTAAAAGATTAGGCGGTTTTTCTTTCATGTACTTCCGCCATATTTAGTCCCCGGGATTTGTAAAGCCTGGCTCAACTCGTTGTGAATGCGGTCTAAGAGGTTGCCGGATAAACAGCGACAAATTTGCGACAAATCTGCTGTCTCCGACCACTCTGCAATACCGGGTATTTCAGGGTAAATCATTTTCACAATCCGTAGGCAAGGCACAAAGAGACAATCGATGTGAATTAGGACGCGACTTGGCATGAGTTTAAGAAGATAAATATAGACAATTAGTTCCTCTCAAGAAGGACATTTTATATCTGAGCGCACGGGCCCATTTATACCAGTAGCGTGAAACCATGATTGCACGGAGGATAGTAGGTACGGTAGCCTGTTTTGTTGTAATTTGGGGGATCGCCACACTTTGGTATCAATATAATAGAATAGCATATCAGAGGAGCCGTGTTAAAACAAGGAGTTTTCAGATTGAAAATACTATGAGATATATAACAGCTGGCTCCACGCCTAATCATACCGCCATGAACACCCATTGTAAAGTCCCGCTGGATGTGTGCTCGGCGAAAATGGCGCCAGAATACTGGTACCACTTGAAGAAATACAGATACGTAGTAAACCAAGAATGCACTGCGGCAGACGACCCATATCTGCTAGTTTTGGTCATCTCGAACCCGCGAGATGTGAAAACGAGAGCTGCTTATCGCAAAACTTGCGGTAGTTGGAAGCAGTATCTTGGCAGACGAATCAAAACCATCTTTTTTCTTGGGAAAACCGGTAACAAAATAGTGGATGAAAATGCTGTAACTGAAGGATTTAATTATAAGGACAGCATTATAATAGGTCTCGTCGATTCTTATAAAAATTACACGCTTAAGACTTTACTTGCTTTTCGCTGGGCCGTTGATTTCTGCGGGAACGCAAAGTTCGTCCTGAGAAACGGACATGATGTAACTACCAACATCCGGGAAATCATGGATTATCTCACGAGTCTTCCCAAAGACTCCCAGTCGTCGCTTTTGGAGGGGTACATACTCTCAGACAAACACGCTCCACAAAGGGACCCAAAAAACAAGTATTATCAGTCACCCGAACAATACCCCTGGAGCAACTATCCTGATTTTATTTCAGGATTTGCGACGCTTTTTTCTTTTGATGTGATACGTGTCATTAACTCTGCGTCTCTCACTCAACACCTGTTCATAGAAGACGTGTATATGGGACATATAGCCCACGCAAATGGTATCAAACTTAAACACAATGTTAACTTTTGGTTTTCTCCCGCGAAACATTATCGCACCATTTTAACCAGCAAGTGCAGGTTTATGAAGTCGTTTGCTGTTCACCGTGCACCCACGAGTGTGTTGTGGGCGGTCCTGAACGGCACTTTAACTAAAGAGGAAGCGTGTCACGTAAAATCATAGGGACCATTTCCAGACCCTACCGTACTAACTGTGGATCGATTTATCTGGAAGGGGATTCTCGCTAAATTGCAATCAACTTAAGCGGCTTAGATGTCTGTCAAGCTTAATGAAGATGCTAGGGGGCAATTTTAATTACTCCCCAATTAAAATTATCGTTATCTTCAGTAGGCGTGCCAGACATCTAAGCCGATTAAGCTTAAAGCAATTTTGCGAAAAAAAAANAAAGAATCCTGGATCCACCCCTGTTGAGGTTGTTGGTGTTGGAACTGTATTATGTAAATTGCCTCAAACAATTTTACAGGTCTGTGGCCGTAGGACGCTGCAAGGACATTGGTCTATGAGGAAATTTATTTCATGTGTTATGTACCAGAAAGTCCCTTTGACAGAGAGTCCGCTTCCCATTCATTTGTACAGGTGAGCCTCGCCCTATATTTTGACCCACTTAGGTCAAACTAACCCTATCAATTATAGATATATGGAGGGCGGACTTTCTGTCAAACAGACCGTCAGTTCCGTGACACCGGACGTACTATATCTGGGAGATAACAAATCTGTTGTCTCCGACCGATCTGCAATACCGTATATTTCAGGGTAAATCATTTTCACAATCCGTTGGCAAGGCTCATAGAGACAATCGATGTGAATTTGGACACGACCTGGCACAAATTTATCTCTTTATAAACAATTAGTTCCTCTCAAGAAAGACATTTTATATCTTAGTGCTCAGGCCCATTTATAGTGTGAAACCATGACTGCACGGAGGACAGTAGGCGCGGTAGCCTATTTTGTTGTAATTTGGGGATTCGCCACACTTTGGTATCAGTATAATAGAATAGCATATCAGAGGAGCCGTGTTAAAACAAGGAGTTTTCAGATTGAGAATACTACGAGATATATAACAGATGGCCCCACGCCAAATCATACCGCCTTGAACACCCATTGTAAAGTCCCGCTGGATGTGTGCTCGGCGAAAATGGCGCCAGAATACTGGTACCACTTGAAGAAATACAGATACGTAGTAAACCAAGAATGCACTGCGGCAGACGACCCATATCTGCTAGTTTTGGTCATCTCGAACCCGCGAGATGTGAAAACGAGAGCTGCTTATCGCAAAACTTGCGGTAGTTGGAAGCAGTATCTTGGCAGACGAATCAAAACCATCTTTTTTCTTGGGAAAACCGGTAACAAAATAGTGGATGAAAATGCTGTAACTGAAGGATTTAATTATAAGGACAGCATTATAATCGATTTCGTCGATTCTTATAAAAATTACACGCTTAAGACATTACTTGCTTTTCGCTGGGCCGTTGATTCCTGCGGGAACGCAAAGTTCGTCCTGAGAAACGGACATGATGTAACTACCAACATCCGGGAAATCATGGATTATCTCACGAGTCTTCCCAAAGACTCCCAGTCGTCGCTTTTGGAGGGGTACATACTCT